GAATTGTTTTGCCAGGAAGCAATCAGTGATGTCCTGTTCCCCTCCCTAACCCCCACCCCCCGCCAGTAAAATGTGTACTACTTATTTTCTTAATGTCATTTTTAAAATGGATATTATTTATTTTAACAGCTATGTATTTTCATGCTCCCAATTTTAAGTCCTTAAAAATACTGATCACAAAGAGTGCACTCAGCAATCCTACAGCAGACCATGTGTGTGCAATTACCTCATTTACACAATCACAATGACCACACAAAATTCAATGCCCCATCTGGAAGATAGGAAATACTATTTCCTTTCTTCTACCTTTGCCTGCGTACATAGCTGACTCTTGAGGATAAGCAGAGTCTCATTATGTTGGTGGATACACATACACACATAGACAATACATATGCTCACACAACACTGCAGATAATCGGGGCCTGATTTCTGTTGAAGCTCCTAGCAACTCTAGTAAACTATTGTACTTCAAATTTTAGCATAAAATCTCCTGCCAACTTTGCCCATCCTTGCTATTTCCAGCTCAGGCTGACAGTTTTGGCTGGCTGCCTTCTCTGCTTGGGTAAACCCTGGGAAACACAGCTGAGCAAAGACGCAGAACCCTCCCTCTCCCCACCTGCCCCAAAGGTGTTTGGTGGGGCTTGAGCCAGTAAGTAAGTAAGCAATCATGGCCATTTTCTGGCCATTTTCACAGAGAGAGAGGCAGATCAGGAGAACGTGGACCTCTGATGCACCCTGTGATGAAGAATGAAAACTGTTTTCTTCTCCTGTCCCACCAAGTGGAAGGAGGAGTTTCTAGAGAAGCAAAAAAAATCCCCGAGACAGGGTCTCCAGGTAAAATAGTACCACAACTATGGGAAGAGCTGGGACATCACACAGGTCATGCAGCAAAAGGAAAAAAAAAACGGGGGAAGCAAATGCTTAGTACAAAAGACTTACAATTAATAGTGAGCTTCTGGGCTTGGGGTTTTAATATCTCTTTGTTGGATGGGGAATGACTCCAGCATGTGTTCACAAACTCCTACATTACAAGCTACAAGCGACACTGGAGGTGATCAGTTCTAAGCCTTCCAGCATACTGCTACCTTGTTCCTGTTGGAAAAGACTCACCCCTAGGGTGACACAAACATGTCAATTTAAGAGATACAAGCTGCACAGAGTTTCTGCAAAGGAATTTTAAAAACATGTGCACTTAAGCACAATGTTCCATCTCTCTTCCTTCCCCAAAACACTGTGCCACATCAATCTGCTCTCACATAATAAATGAGTGTAAGTATAGACATTTTCAGGAGCATTTAACATGCATTTGTTGGAAAAGCAGCACTGCCTTCTTCTCCCACTTATTTCTACAAATACAACTCCCTCTACTGAGAACGGCTTGTGACAGCCCAAGGCCATATGAGAGGCCACTTGTTAAAATGCTGACAAAGAGTACTGGCATTGTGCGTGTCAGCTCCTGCTTTACCAAGGGTGGGCAGGGGGCAGCCAGAGCCCGAGTCTGTTGTGAGACCTCAGAGATGAGATGGAGCAGGGTCTGCTCTTTTCACTGGAGTCCCCACCAGGAATTCCTGGAGAGTACAAAGCAGCCCCTTAAAAATCTTTCACTCATTATTCCAGCCTGCAGCAAACCCTAGAAGTTGCTCAGCTGAAGTTACAGGTCACATTTTCGATTATTGTCTTCCAGTAACAGAGAAAACGTGCATGCTGCAGCCACACTCAGATATATCTCCTGCTGCACCATGGGCTGGTCCTGGAAAAGACAGCTGAGAAGAGACAAGAGACAGGAGAAACCTAGGAAAGAGAGGTGGATACAGATGGTGAGGAATGAATGAGGTGGATTTGGGGTTTTTCAAGCTTACTGCACTGTAAAGTTTTCCTAAGCATGGGCCATTAGCCCCTTCCAGTATTGCCTTCTGTGAAAAAGGCACACGGAAAACTACACACCTTTGAGAACTAGACTGCTCTCACTAGGCATTTGGTGATTTTTTAAAAACAGTCTCCAGATATTTGCTATGTTTCCTGTCTGCAAAGTGAATCTATCTTTCTTATAGCTTGACATTTTTTGTGCTACTACAGTGGATCCAGAGTATTTTTTTTTAATTCTTCTTTTACTACTACAGAGTACTTCTTTTACTACTAGTTCTTGATGGGTTCAAATTTCAGATGGCTCTTTCTGCAGAAACCAGGGTAATGCACGGGAAGTTCTGCTACTAGGGGATAGCAGAGCTGCTTTCCATGTGTGACAGGAACTCCTGGCAATTATAAGCGCTGCAGATATGCATCTCCCTCATTAATGTTTTCTAATTCAGGCCTACAAAACTGAAATTTTGTGATTTACAAGGTGTTCATGACCACAGTGAACTGCTGCCGTAGCTGGGGTTGGGACCTCTGTCAGGCCACAGAGCTGTGTTTCACAGGCAGTGGCAGCACACAGCAGCTGTGCAGCCCCAGAGCTGTGCAGGGCAGCGAGCAGCTCGGGCTGGCAGCTTGTGGCAGCCACCGTGACATCTCCAGCAGCTGTCACAGGGCTGTCCTGCACGCAGGCCCAACAATCTGGGTGCCAGATACTCCCCTCTCCCTTCCTCTCAACATCAGGGGCCAGCTAACAGCAAGGGCACTGTAAAAACAAAGAGCACTAGGAAACAATTATTTATGCATTTTCAGCATTGTACTGTGGTTAATCTGTGCTTCCTTTTTAATACTGTCAGGTGAAGGAAAGAGCCTGAAAGTATCTCAGAGAGGTACTGGTATTATCTTTGCCTTTCAGGTGTTTTAAAACAGGTCACTTTACAAAGAAAAGCTCCATTGTTTAACATTTTTTATATGACAATCTCAAAGCAATTGATATTTGATCAATTCACAACCTTGCTCTGATTTTGTTGTTCTCGTTTTCACTGTAGACACTAAGGAAGAGAAAAGTTTAATCACTGGCCAAATACCATGCAATTCAGCAGTAGCAGAACTAAGAACAAGGACTCAACATGCTGAATATACTCCAGCAGCTTCCTCAAGCTGAACAAGCAAAACCTTAGTTGAGGCAATATACACACTCTTGGGAGGATTTCAGCTGACATCTGAGGTATTCTGAGCCTGCACAGGGAGGACTGATTAACCCCTTTTCATACAAGGTTTTGCAAAATACATCACAATTTACCTTTGCTACCCTTGTGTGTGGGAATGTATAATGGGACTGAAAAGGGCCAGCTGGAAAAGAGACAATTACTACCTTCTTGATACATGAGTTGTTTCTAGCTCTTCAGCAGGTAATTTAGGCAGCTCGTAACATGCTAAGGAATAGCCCTGTGATCTCTGGTCCTATGAAGTCCAGTTAGGAAGAGGCTTCTAAAAGGACAGAGGAGTTATATCTCTTAATATTGAGTTTGATAAAACCAAACAATTACCACCACCTCTTCTCAGTGAACGTGTCAATGTAAGCGCTTTAACCAAGGACCCATCAAGGGCAGGAGGAAAACAGACATTTCAGCAGCTTGAGCTCACCTCTTGAGTTTCTCCTGATGTCTAAAAAAGACAGAGGGAGCTTCCCTTTTGCACCCTCTGCTGCATATGAGCTCCAGATGCGTGCATACTATTTTCAGTCAGAGGATACAGATGTCATTAAATATGCTGGTGATCTGCTCCAGTCTATTGATTTTTTTTTAATCTGAGATCAACACCCAAGAAAACTATTTGAAGACTCAGCATGAAGAGGGGAAACAACTGCAATGAAAGTTGTAGTTCCCATATTACCAAAACAAGGTGCAGGGCACAGATCATACCCAATACCATGGGCCCCAAGTCCTGACAATTGATTTGGGAGATCTTTCAGGACTCTGGAAAAAAGTAAAAAAGCATTCCAACATGGTGTTTTCTTCTCACATGGTAGTAGGGTTATGAAGCAGCTTTTTATGACCCATTCAGTTTTTGTTTTATAGCAGCCTATTTATATACTCCAATTCAGTCACAGCTTCCACTGTACTGATTACTACAGTGCTCATTTCCTCATTCTGAACTGTGCATGCATTTCTTTTCTCCATTTTATTCTCTCCTTATTAGATCTGTTAGCCTTGCATTGCCCCTCCACCCTGCTGCTTAGCCTCTCCTAGGTTTCTTTTCTAAGGGCACTTGTCTCACTGACAATTAAATAACCAATAAAACAAATATTTTAAGAAAAGCTTTCCCTCTTTTTACATTTTTAAATGCATGAAAAATAGATTCAACACAGTATTTGAGCAGCGGTTCAGTATCACTCAAGACATCCTCTTCCACTCTGAACAGGACATGAAAGCAAGATTTTTTAAAACTCACTATCCTTTCTACAGTCCCATTTATTTACTGAGTTGGTGAGTGCCTAAAGGCCACTGATACCTTTTGCTTACAGCACGTATTATTGAAGTCACTGACTTGTACAAAACATGAAGATTGAAATCCAATTTAATGTTTTCCCATTTACACTAGACATAACTTGTGCAGCAAACTTTTTAACAATGCTTCCAAATTCACAACACACTAAGCCCAAAACTCCTGAAGTTAATATTTTTGCACTTGGGATTGTTAATGTTTGCTAAAACCTAAAACATTCTTCAGCTGACTAAAAGCTTTACATCCTTAGAACGTAAAAGCTAAATATAAATATGGTGGGTGTATGTGGATCTTTTCTCTCTGAGGAGGCTCTGTTACGAATTTTCACTGTTTTACGCCACCACCAAGCCTCTGCTAAGCCACGACACCTGTTCAGAATTTTCAGCTTCTTAACCCCTTATTACTCTTCCTACCATCCACAGAAGAAGTGCAGGAAAAGTTCCATAATCCTGGATTTGCTGTATTAATTCTCCATGGCTCCTCGGTGTCCTTCAGTATTTTATATTAATACCCACCTTAAGGACAACTAACTAAATGGATGAACTTGCCTCCCTCATAACATATGCCAGTAGGTAATCTGTTTATCAAGCAGACTCTGGAAAGAAAACCTAAAAATTCCATAGGCAGAACACCAAAGATAATACTGTTAATAAATATTATTGCTGATAAGAATAAATGGTTTATACCAAAATGAAACAGCACTACAACTTTTATGTAACATTACACTAAATGCATTCTTATAATTCACATCAAAAAGGATTCACTGTTCTTAGGTTTGATATATTTAGCAAACATTGGGAGTGCACAATGCCAAAAGTTCTTTTAGCATTACTATGTAGACGCTTTTTTTAAGATTTCTACAAAAAATAAACCATGAGGATATCTCCTAGTAAAAAGTCAAAATATCCCATTGAGACAAAATAACTCAGTAAGAAAATCTGTTTCCAAATACTCTTTTTCATTAAAAACCATATATATGACTCAAATTAACCACATTATGAATTTTGACCTGATTTATTCATATAAATCAATCCAAGTTCAAAATATATATCATAAGGATACTGGTAAATTTTTCCAGGTACTAGAGAATCTTGTATAAATGTATCTGTTCGAGTGCTTCTCTGTCAATATCCTTTTCCATATAAACATCATAGTTCAGCTGCACCTCTTCAACCCATTGACTGAGCTGTACATCTGCCTGAAACAATGAAAGCAGATCCTTAAGTCAACACCATGTTATGAAACAGCAGGAGTTTCAAGGTTAAGGAGTTTCAACATTAAGAAGGCAAGACATAATATGAGAGATTAGTCATTCCAGATTATATGACAATGATTAATTAATTTCTGGAAAAGCCATTTTAACTCAAATAGGAGATAATAAAGATAACTTTAAAAATTATCTCAGTCAGTAGTCTAGATATTTTGTTAGCATATTACCAACACCTTTCTTTATGCATTTGTGTACGCCTCAAACATCCTAATTCAAAGGGTGATGTTCTGACAGATGTGCTGAGGGAGCAGGTAACAGTATCATGGAAGAATCACAGGTATTTTCTTGTTTTACACCCAGGGAGTATTGTATTAAGGCTAAAACGGGCTTCTCAGCTGCTCTGTGATTACAGCCTGCTCCAAGAAAAGTTCAAATGACCCCACTGCTCGTCTTGGGGCTGAGGATCTACTTCATCCATCAGCATACAGGCAACAAGTGATTCAATTTCTCTAAAACTAACTACTGTTGTGAGAAAATCACTTTATACATAACCTTGTAATGTCTGATCAGTGTTTTGTTTCCTAACTAAAGCTAGGCCACATAATTTGACCAGGTATCACACATATGATCTGCTGATGACCGATAGCAGAAGGGACAGAGTGGAGCATGGCCCATCGGGAGCAGCACAGAGCATTCAACATCTTTGAAAGATGCACTGCCTTCACAGAGACATGGAAGATGTTTGCTTCCAACTGCAATTTAAAGCCATGCAATGATTCAAGATGCATGATGGTAGTCACTCGGCTAGATGGGAGACCACATCTCTCACTAATCTGTACTTCCAAAAGCTCATACTGCCCTATTAATACACATGTTAATGCAATGATTCATGCAGCCTACGGATACAGGCTGGGATTTTCCTTTTCACACGAGGACAATCGAAGTACAGGAAGAAGTGCTGGTGGTCAACCTCAAAACACAATCCTGAGTCTTCCACCTTTTAATCTTTGCACAAAATTAAATATCCTTCCTTACAGCAATACTGGCAAGCAGCTGACTTCAACTACAGAAATGTCACTTTGACAGAATATAACCAAGTGTGTCAGCTAAAACAGGCTGAGGGAACTTACCTGGAGCTTTGAAAGTGATTCCTCAAGACTTGGAACTGTCACTAATAAGGACCCTCTTTTCCTTACATTACAAGCAATAAATTCCCAAGCTCTGAAACATATTTAAAGATAGGTGACCAGTTTTTTTGAGAAAAAAAAAGACATATTTGATATACAATTAATCTAACACTTGCACTTTATTGGCCAGAGGTAGACTAAGCCTAAAGGCTTGCAATACATGCCTATCAGTCATTATTAATATCTAAGCAAATGTATTTGCAGGAATAAAACCAAGCTTTGTATTAAAAACACAGGGAATACATGATCTTACAATGTCAGATTTTGTAACTTTGTATTTCTCATACATACATGCATATAATTTGGTATTGTCAAGACTTTCACTTTGAACAAGCATTAAACATTGACATTTAGCCTCTTTGGTTTGAAGAAAATCTAGTCCTGAAGTGCAGTCCTTTATTAAGCTTCACAACAAACTGTGCTTTACATACATACTTTGTGTACAGTTGTGACAAAGTCCTTCTCTTAAGACATTAGTAATCAGAGTATTTAAACATAGCCCCCAGCATTCACTTTTTTTTTTTATTTTGCAAGTAAGATTATTTCTCACAGCACAGTAATTCAGACTAAAAAGACTTTAATTTCCAGCGTTCTTCAAATGTCATTTGTCTTCATGCTACTAATGCAACACTAAACCACTATTCCCAAGTTATGTCACAATCAAGTGAATTCTCAGTCCTGTGCCTGGAAATATATTTCCTGGCATTTTGAAACACCTACTATCATTCTGTGCCTGTCTGGCTGGTATTATCACCTGGTAACCAGGGCAGCAGGGCAAGGCTTAGCTGAAGCTGGTACAGAATGACAGACTTGGCTGGGACCAAGTAGACACACAGATAGTCCTTTTTTCTGACTGCCCATTCTAAACTTAGGATGATAAGTTATTTACACTTGAAATGGATGCTGCTGGATTAGCAAAAGCTCATCTGTGAGTGCCTTGTACCTGAAAGAGAACCTTAGCCACATGTTTGTTTGCTACCACATCCTTATGAATATCTGTTAGAAATATCATTCATAACCATGCTTTGTAGTCTGTATATATTAAAACTCTAACATCAATGAGTCAGTGACTCTTACTTCTGAAGATTAAATTCTATGCTGATACAGTAATTTCAGATTCTAAAGCAGCAAGATACAATTTTAACATATCAGTGCAAGGATTCAAGCCAAGGTTTGGGTAAACAAAGCAACAGTGTTTAGTGGGTTTAACAACAAACAACTGCCAGAACACCTTAGCAGTTAAGTCTAACAATTAGAAGTAGGCAGTATGAAACAAATTCCTTATATAAATTATGCATGTGCCTTCAAAAAGCACAACCTTAAGGTTTTCCATTATTCACAAGGTTACACATATATTGCCAAAGAAATAGGGAACTTGTTTGGACACAGAGCTTACCTGGCCTGTTCCTGTCTGTCAAGAAAATATTCAAAGACATTATTCATTATAACAACATCAGCCTTCTGCAGAAGTGAGGGCTGAGTACAGATGTCTGCATGAACCACCTGAAGGAGAAAAATTTCCCAAGGCATAAATTAAGAGACAAATACAGCCTTTGAGAAGTCATGAAGCCTGTCAGCCTAATACAGCAGCTGCTACCACCCTTTTGAACCAGTCACAAAAACAGTCATTCCACTGGCTTCACAGTAGATAAAACTGACATACACAACCATAATAACCTTTCAAAAATTAAAAAAAAACAGATTTAACTCTTCTAATTAAAATACTCCATCCATTATGCTCAGTAAAATAAAGTACATCTGAATTTTGATTTAGAACTGTATGCCATAAAAGATGAGATAATGTATGAGATGGCTGTTGCATTTCCCTATATTTTATCACAAATGTCCAGTGATTTCAAGAAAGAAGTTAAGCTAGTTGAAGCTATTTTGAGGATAATAAAAGGCATCTCACAGGGTCAGTGGGTTACTGAAGGATTATAGCTAGAAAAGACACTACAAACCCAGCTTTGACAGCTGAATTCCCACAATGCATATTGAGACTGGGAATGTTGGAAAGGCAGGATGCTCAGTAGCACTGGAGGATACTACTAAACAACTGCCTCTCCAGTCAGCACAAGAGGAGCTATTTTGATTTTATCTACCTTCACCTACAAAAAGGATATTAGCACTTCATGTCATTTTTCAAAACAAGTGAGACAGGAGAATATGGATGCTCATTAACACTCTGATGTGTTTGATTTCTTCTTAAAGACAGAAAAATCTTGTCATTCTGACTCAGTGATCCCTGTGGGTCCTTTTCAACTCAGGATATTCTATTATTATGCATCCCAAATCTGATGAGAAATGTAAATTGGAATATCTTTTGAAGGGATAAATAGTCAATATGGATTCACTAAAGGTGAATCATGTTTGACCAACCTGATTGACTTCTGTGATGAACCAACTACCTGCATGGATGAGGGGAGATCAGGGGATTTTGTCAACTTGACTTCAGCAAGGCTCTCAGCTCTGTTTCTCACAACATCCTCACAGACAAACTCAGGGTGTGAGGGCTGGATGAGTGAGGACTGAGAATTGACTCAATGGCAGATCCCAGAGGGTCATAAACAGTGGCACAGGGTCAAGCTGGAGGCCTGTCACTATTGGTGTCCTCACGGCTCAATTCTGAGTCCAGTATTGTTTAATTTATCCACAAATGACTTGGATGAAGGGGAGATGCCTCCTCAGCAAGTTCACTGAAGACAAGAAGCTGGAAGGAGTGGCTATGGAGGGATGGGCAGAGAGGAACCTTCTAAAATTCAGCAAAGGCAAATGCAGGGTCCTACCCCTGGGAAAGAATATTCCCATGCATAGGATAGGATACTAATGGCAGTCCTAATAATTTAAACCACAATTCAGAAAGATGCTTAAACTACTGGAAGCTTTGAACATAAGTTGATGTTTTCTTGACTTGAATGATACTTAAGACTTGACCTAAAATTACTCTGCATTTACAGAGTAGGTGACCATACTGACCAAAGTGACCTAAGCACCTCATTCTCCTCAAACATATCCTCATTCCTCTTGGGGGACTTGGGACCACATAAGCATGTATGGCTGCAAAATGAGACAGACCCAGATACTGCTCTAGTCAAAATCCCAATATTGCTGGGCTTGGTTTCAGCTGAACTAGTTCTCTGATCTGTTTGGCTGTGTGCCAGTAGAACAGAGGAGGCAGCAACTGATTTTAAAACTGCCCTATCATCCAATGGAATAAACACCAAGCCTTTCATGACTACAGACAATTTCTGAATTGAGGTCTCAAGTTTCCTAAGATCTGTTGAACTGTTTACTTTCCTCCCAGTAGCTAAATGTTTCCTCAAATGGCAAAAGACGCTGAGCAACCTTCTACGTACTTTAACAAACCAAGTGTTGATCAGAGAAACACAAGGTTCACTCAGAGATTTAGCCACTAAAGATACCATTTCACTTTGCTATCCTTTAGGAACATATTCTGATAAAAAATCAGAACTATCTTGAAAAAAAAAATCTCTATTTAAGAAGAGTCACTAAAACGTTTTTCAAACTTTATGACCAGCATCTGGATTCTCATAATTTTTCAACCTGATATGTACCTCTATGAGAGAAGTCATCTGGGAGTGAAATAAAAATAAAAGATTTAAATGTTCAAAGCAGTGTGATAACAGAAATCACATGACTAAATTAGCATTTAATGAGACTCAAATAGCTAAGTCCTCTGGCACTGCTTTGAAAACCTATTATCTTATCTTTATGCTCCAAAATGAATACTTCAGCAGAATTACAAGGTGTGAAGAAAATACATAAAAGCTCATAATAAAAAATATACAGTGCTGAAAAGCATGCTTATAGATCTCCAGCTCCACTGAATTAACTTGAGAGAGTTCCTAACTGCTCTTTCACTTTTATCACAATAAAGTGTTATAAACACAAAACATATGCAAAACCCAAAGATTATGGATCTGCAACTGAATTGAGCAACCCAATGATACTGCTTACACTGTGTTAAATATGTTTATTCTTTCTTTCTAGGTTAAAATTGGGTTACCTTAATACCCAAGAAATTACCATACTTAGCAGTTAGTGTGACTCTATTCAGGGGCACGTGCATACAACACAGGGTTAAAGCCAGTATTATACTCAGCATATTCTACATACCAACTCTTGCTGGTAACAAAATAATGGGTCTGGTCCTGAAAGGATTTTTTTTCCTCTTTAAAATATTAGTAGCTATTCCCATAATGAAACTAGGGAAATGATTCCCATACTGATAGCACTTTGTTTGATATCCATTTTGTTTGTGGAAGGTACACATACACTGACATTCTATGAAAGGAAATATGGCTAATTCTAAGTCTTTTAGGTATTCTTAGATGCAAATTTGCGAATCCTACAAACATTTTTCTGCTAACAAAAGTGAATCTCGGACATTTACTTTTGTCTTTGTGACAGAAATTCTTTATACACTCAGTTTCATAGGAGTGGCAATGATGTAATTGATTTCACTGGGTGAACCAGCTAAGATTTATCTGTTTTGTGTGAGCCAGTGGGTAAGTCTAGTTAGGAAAAAGGCTAAGTGATTAATATTTTGATAATTTCCCTCTTTCTCTGTGCTATAAGGTCTTTTTTTCCTAATGCAAAGCCTTTGTTTAGGATCAAAACAGGCAAATGTAGAAACTTCTCAGAATGCTGATTTACCAGCCACTCGCTTCAACCAGATACCTTGTACACAGTGGTTAAAAATACATAAACTAAAACACGTATTTAGTTACCTTTATTCTGTCAATGAACTCATACTTTGTAACCATCATTTCTTGCAACTGGCAAAAGTCTGCATTCATTTCTACTCCATAGAGCTGGGAAGCTGAGCTATAAAGATAACCCTACATTAGGAAAAGGAAATTTAGTAACCGTGATGCCTTTAAAAAAAATTCAAAACTTTCATTTAAAAAGAAGAGAATTAAACACGAGTTAAGATTAAAGAAACAATTTAAAATAGCGAGTTGAGAAATGTCTTTCAGTGGATGTGAAATATTTTTCATAGCTAAGCTCCTGATTTGGCAATTCCCTCTTAAGCCTCAAAAATTTTAGTAAGAGATCCAAAATGGCACATCAAAATAGCAAGAAAAGGAAAGCTCCAAGTTCACTTCAACTGCAAAACAGACGGAAAATAGTCTAAGAAAGAAAAAAAGTGTACAAAACAAGTTACAAAAATAGTGTGAAGGAAAAAGACTCTACATGTCATTTTTGTTTCTTGGGAGAATTGAAGAAGAAAATATCAAGAAAAAAATAACAAAAATATGAGACAACAGAGTCAAAATGAGTGAAAATGGAGGACAATATAACAATAATATAGTGGGATATTTTGAGATCAAGTCTTTGTCAGCTCCTCTAAGTTACTGTATTACTGACATTTTCAGATGTTTCATACAGGTACATATTGGAAAAAAAAGCTAAATTATGACTTAATATTACGCCCAAAAAACCAGTTCAGTTTTGGACTAAGATTTTGGGAAGCTGTTGGAAATGTTAGAGAAAAAAGTACAAATACTTGAGCGTACAGTGCCCTAATAAAGATATTGTTTTAAATGCCACTATCTCCATTGAGCACAATAATTACACTTTACCAACAATGGCAAAGACAAACAATGCTGAAGATATAGAATATCTGAGATGCACTAGTATTACAACTTCATTATTAAGGTTTTCTGAAACCATTCAACTCAGACAGTAGAAAAGCAACCTGTGAAGTCACCCCTCCTCCAAGGCAAGACCATGTTACAAAGCAGAACTCTTTTTTGTAAGAGTGCTTTGAGAGTGTCTTCTCCTATAATAATACAAGCATTTAAATACTTCAAAACAAATTCAGCCTAGCCAAACTGTTACCATTTAAGGACCCAGTGCTGCAAATATTTACAAATGGGAGTAACTTTCCTCATTTGAGTGATCCCAAAATTAGACTATTCAAATGAGTAAAATCACATGCTCAAGTGTTTGCAAGATTGAGCCCTAAACACACATTGACTTTTTTAAGAAAGTAGTAGTGTGTGTTTTGCATCGCTGTTGGCCATATGTTGTACCAGCCATGCCAAAAGCAATCAAAATTGCACTCAAGTTTCTCGATGAAGTATTTTCTGTGCATTTTAAAATGCAGAGCAGGACAATATGTTTTTGGAGACAAATTCATATCAAAGTCTTCCTTTGTATATTTTAACAGTTTATCAGCTTTATAAAGGAATTTAACATAACTAATCTATATATAGGCATGGTCAAGACATAAGAGGACAAACTTATTTATGAAAGAGACATCAGGAACAAGCAAAAGAGCAGCATGTGTGACAGCAATATGCTATTCTGTTGAATAACAGACTTTTCCTCTCCGTAAGCAAGATCATCTGTATTCCCTCTTGTGAGGAATAGAGGAAGAACTGAAAGTGCTAGTAAATAGCACTTTACACTATTCAGAGAGTCAGATTAGAGGTGCCTCTCAGAATGACCCATCCAATATTGAGTAATGAGAGTAGGCAGTCAGAAAAGAGGGAAGATGTTTGTCAAAGTAATAAAATATGAATTCCTATGCTGGAAGTTACCGCAAATAGCACTGCACCAAGCCTGGAGCCAACGTCAACCACTACCTTTCCTGTCAGGTCAGGCAGTACATGTTGATAAAGAAACTTCAGTTCCATGAGGGAAAAGGAATGCGAAATAAACTCTGGGAAATAAGAACAGAACAAAGGTGTTGGGTGGGCAGTACTAACTACTGTGTAATTAACCATTGAAATAATAACCTGAAAATTTATCTTCACTGAAAACTTGTGTGGTTTCTTGTCTGCATTAGTGCATTAGAGCAGGGTTTTCAGATCAGAGGTAAGCAACCTGTCCCAAGTCTGAGGATTCCTTGCCTTACATGGCGAATTTTGAAATCCTTCATGAAACTGAATTACCTTTTTGTACACAGTAACATATGTTAAAAAATGCAAAACAAAGCAACTTGTAACTGTTTAACTGAAAAAGGAAACATAGTAAATAAAATTTGTGCAAAACTTTTTATGGGCAGACATACTAATAGCTTTAATTTCAACTCCAAAGTTTCCATGAATGGAATGTTCTCCATATAAACCGTTCCTTCAATGGCTGTGCTCTACTGGCAACAGCACTGATCTGTACCACACCACACACAAGCTTTAAGACAGATGGTGCTTTCTACTGCTTTTCAGCATGTGAGAGGAAACCCAGGCTACTGCACGGACTCTACAGTATTGTCTTCCTCTTGCATCTTTCTCTCCAGTGATAGACGGCCTGCCTCTTACCTGCCCAGTTTTTGTGGGCAACAATTGTCACTCATACACTACGAATTAATTCAACTTACATGTGCTGGAGGCTCCTTCCATTGGTTATGGGAAATAATTCTGGCCTGTATTGTGCAGCAGTCTGGACAAACTCCCCCGTCAGCTGGATGTTGTCATGTCCAGCTGAGTCACTGCACAAACCAGTTTAGTTAAACTAAATTTGTTTCTCTTGTTCACGAAAGAACACTTACCTAAAGATGCAGTTTTGTATGAGCCACACTCTGTGCAGTAGCTCCTACTCATTTTCCCCTCCTCACACAATGAATCAACAACATCATCATCATAAAGGAATGCATCAACATGAATCATGGGCAGTGGATGCTGCTGTATCTGAGAAGACAAACAAAACCTTAGAAAGGCATAACCAAGTCTCTTAACTTCACTTACACTGTCAAACATTAACTGTTCCACCATCCTACCTTTCTCAAAATCCTCGAGATCCATGTTTTTCCCTATGCAACAATTACAAAAAAATTTAAACAACAGAAATCCTGCATGTAAACTGGGTCATCAAATTCCATTGAGATAACCAGTAAGTGGTAGTTGACAAACAAGAGCGAGCTGGTTTTGATACCTGAGTAGGGGGGCCCCATGTGAATTTTGTCTCTTTAGCGCTTGCTTGGCTATAGAGAACATACAGGGTAAAGAAAGCTTTTTCTCTTCTTTTAATGAGCAGAATGTAACTTAAATTTAGCAGAAAGGTCAATTCTGCTTCTCAGCCTCAACTGACTATTTTCATTATTGTGCCTTATGCCTCTATCTAGAAGCATCCCTGATTAACATGAGTGTCTCTTTCAATCAAAAGTATACCAGTTGGGATGATTGCCTTCTCATAATTGCAAGGGGCATAATCTTCATCCTCCTACTCATCTTTCCTCCCTTTTCCAGGCTTGCTGCATGTGGCCAACCCACGTTTCCCACTGAAGAGCCACACACCACTTTTCTGGGAAATGCATTAACTTTCCTTGTATATTGACAGGTCAAGTAGGAAAGGTGCACTCTCCTCCCACAGGACACACAGCCCACCTGTTTCTGAGCCATGAGAATCTGAAAAGAGCTGGATATCATCTCCGGGCTGCCCACGTTATGGCAACAGCAAAATACTGGTGCTGTGCTCCTGTTGTCTTTAAGGGGGCTGTTAGAGTCTACTAGGGAGCTAGCATTGAAGAATCACTGTGACAGGTGCCATACCACACAGAATGAAAGCTATCCCAAAAAACATATGATCAAAGTATTTAAAACTACAAAGCAACTTTCTTGTAGTCATGAAAATATAAAACAACAGACCTGAGAACCAAACTGAGATTTCCTATACTTCAATCCATGTTCATTCTCTATTATGAACTACTGCTAAAAATGCTATCAGAATAAATGATGTTGTTCTGAAGCAGACCATAACAATTAGCTTACTTTCTGAACAGCCTGATGTTCCGAAGTAAACATTGCCTCGATGGGTAAACGATTCCTCAAATCTTCAGCGATATTTCTGAGCACAACATCATTGTTACTCACCACAAGTTCATCAAAGTCATCTATAAATCAAGACAAACAAAAACCCAAGAACAATCATATGCAGATCATGTGGACTAACTGATGACCAGTACAATACAGTTGCAAGACATAAACACCACCAGATGGATAAGGTTTTTTATTCGTATGTATTTTTCAGGCTTTGTTAGCTTTTCCAGCCAATGACAGATTTGGATTGTAATAACTTTGCCACATAAAATAAATGCACTGCTTTTCTGAAATCTCAAATTATTTTCATATTTATAAATTTATAACTCACATATGATCATCTGGGCTGCCACCAAAGTGGTATTGTTTCAGTTTAAGATATAAAAAACATCAAAGATGTTTTTGAACTATTGGAGAAATTACAAAACACAATAGTTGCCTGAATGCAGGCTTTTCTTTTTTTTTTTAATACAAGTTTCTTTTTATATGTATGATCTTTCTAATAAACTTACCAAAAAAATCAGGGATAATGCACAGTTCAACAGTTCAACTCACAATAGATTTTATATTACCTAAACTATCAAAATATTTCAAATGAGAAGGAAAACAGGAGTGGATGTAAACCAATACATTTTTGCAAAGCCACAGTGTAAATCTTTGCTGTTTTTCCAGGATATTCCTGCATTACTTTAGCACATTTTTTTAAAAGACATCTAGAAAAAAGATTCAGAAGAAAACAATGTGAAGACACGAATCCTTTCTTCTTCCAAGGGTCAATCAACAGTAAGTGTCATCACTTCTTCAAACTGCTCTTTTAAAAATTACTGTTAATGCTCAGGACTCTACAACCACCCTTAGCCATCTAGTCCAGCGCTGGACTACCCCTAATTTTAGAAAGGAAAACCCTTAATTATTGACTTAGATGTCCTCTGCCACTACTTAGTATCTTCTTCCCCACTCACAATGGAAATAGAAAACTTTGTTCCTTTCCATTATATAGTAAATATTTACTTCCCTGAAGACATGTCACATGTCACATCATTCTCCTTTCCAAAAAAATCCAAGATTTGCCTATCCCGACCTTTTTTCCTTTTTTTTTTTTTCCTAGTGTGTGAGGATTCTCAACACTTCCCTTCGGATCTCCTGGACTCTCTCATACTTTCTGACCTGCAGTATTGAGAACCAGACACTCCAGCTAAAGGTTTACTTGCTCTTACCAGAGTTTTCATATCTTGCAGCCATCATCCTGCTTATATCCCACAATTTCATGTTAAGAGTATGATGTTTCTAACTGGCATTCAGCACAAGATCTCTGCATACCTATACTCTACTTTTTTCTTGTTATGTTTTCCTCAAAAGAAGGACAAGATGAAATTCCTTTTTGTCTGGACATCTCACTGCTTTGAGGATGCTGAACTGGTTCTAAACAAAGGCACATCTCAGATCAAAGCTACAAACCTGTAGAAGACAACCACCACCAACAAAAAGCAACCACTAATCTAATCCTGAAAAAATATACCAAACCAATCTATTGTGTCTCATCTAAGACCAGACACATATGTCCCCTCTTCTCCACCCCTTCTGGTTTGCTTCTTTTTTATTTAGACTGCCAACATGTTGGGTAGTGACTGTGCTTTTTATATGTATGTGCATCACTCACAAAAAGAAAATCTGACAGCTTTTATAGGTGTTTTTAAAAAAAGCAACATTTGCTAGCATTGCTGTTCCAGGTGGGAACATTAGTACAGAAAATCTTGATGGCAAACAGGTTCAAAATAAATCTACAGAACACACTACAAGTTTCTCTATGTAAATGTATTTAATCTTTCCTGTGGGTCTCTGGAAATGCTAGAAAGAGTGGGACATTTTAAGACTAGTATAGGAACCAGAAACCTTCAAACCTTTAAACTATTAAATGCTTCTGAAATGGTTTTTACTTAGGCACTGTAGTGAGAACAGTATGATTAAAGAAACCATCATTCATTGGTGCAAAAGGCTCTTTAGACTGCAAATGCAAATGGTTCTTTCAACACATCTGAAAATGGACCCAAACAGATAATCCTGAATCCCCTGTAGTAAGCAGCAGAAACTTTAAATTATCTGTATTCCCCTAAGATATATTTTGTTTATCATTTATTAAATGTACAGTAGTAATGCTCCAATGGTGGCTCCCTGGTGGGCCATTACCATTGGTGGTTGTTATACTTCAGGAAGGCAATTCACTGCTCCAAAGTGCTTACAGTTAAGTTCTCCAGAACTTAGCTCCTAAAGAGATGCACATTTTGGAGCAAGGAACACAGATAGAGGCAGCAGCTGCAACAGCAGCAACACCAACACAACAGGTGCAATGCAGCAGCTCCAGCTTGTCAGCATGTTAATTTGAAACCTCTAATGAGCACCCATCCTGTTAAACTCACAGCCCAGCCAGCAATTTGCAGATTTGTTATGAACATCCCAGAAGCACAGTGATTTTTCCAAGAAGCTCAGGGAAGATGTCTGTGGATGTGACACAGCACAGAAGTAAACCCAGATATCATGGGAAGGGAAGGTGGGCAAATCTAACTGTAGCTTAACCGAGACCATCAGCACCGCAACATGCCCTCAAGAGTGACAAGGCACCAGTTTGCTGAAGCCGATAACATCTCAGAGAGCAAGGGGAAAAACTGTGCTACAGACAGAACAAGAGAGCAGAAAGCTGATATTAGCAGCTGAACAGATCAGTGCCTGTGGGCAATAAGCCTCTACATCTGGCACTTGCTTTAAAACAATACTATTACTATGCAAGAGAGCTCATCCAGCTGTTATAGTGCCTGTTAAGAGTATCGAATTCATATATAGCATTTAATGAAATGCAGGAAGTGTTCCTAGACCACCAGGCCAGCCACATCACACCACAAATACAGAACTTCAGCTCTCTTCCTCCCAGATCTAGTGTGTCAACAGGAACTGCTCCCTCATGGCCTGGGTGACCTTTCCTGGCCAACAGCTCCACAGAAGAGAAACACACACCTTCAGTGAGACGCAGGCAGCACATCCATCTTCCCCTAACCCAGACTATCCCTTCCCTGCCCTGAGTTCAGTCTGTGCAGTACCTGTCACAACACTGACCACCTTGCATAGGGCCCTCTGATCTCTCCTTGCAAAACAAAGTATGAAACAGATGAGTTCTTGTATGCTCTATACAAAACAAGTCCTAAGGACAACACATATGCAGCTCAGGTCAGCTGTTGAAACACTGACCCTGAAAAATAAATGACAAATGGAAATGCTCCTTTCTAACTATCAGTTAATACTCTAAAGCACAATAAGCAGGAACAAAAAAAGAGAAGGCGGTCTGAACAGACTTCATCCAAGATGGCAAAATGGCAGCTGGAGCAGAAGCTGTGCGTGCAGCACTCCACACCTGTGTGTACAGTCTGTGACTGAACTCTGACACAGAAAGTCGACTCCTTCCTGTCAAAGCAAGAAACGGCAACAGCTACCACAATAACTCATTTACTTTTGCAGTATGTAAATATTTGTAGATTGCCATCAAGTAGGAAACACCAGTGCCAAATATGAAAATAAGCATCTCTGCTGGTACAGTTTCATCAACTCCACTCTTATGTTTAACAAATTGTTCGCTCTTGAGAATCTCAGCATCGCCTTAAAAGGAATCTTCAAAGAAGAAACAAAAATAGAAAACTATTTTATATACAATTTTAGTGCCTGTTACATACATGAAATGTATACAACATGAAATGGAGAGTGTGCAAGCCAACCTGTGTTCATTGAACAGACAACTAACCAGGAAAGAAACATACAGTTCATGAAACACTGCAAGATGAATCACAATCATTTGTTTATGGAGGAAGTCTGAGTGCGTAGTGTTTGTATTTTACTTCAAAAACCGGTTCCACTGGATTTACTCAACACACATTCATAAAATTTAATTAACACGTTGCAAAAAGCCTCATTATCACCCTGGTGCTAGTCAGCCTTTCTACAGAAGCTAAGAAAACATCACAAAGCCTCACACCAGATAGAGAGCACCGCTACACCAACATCTGAACACCATGGCACTGCAAAATACAGGACTGAAGACAAAGCAATGTGCTATTTCCAAGTGACAACAGAAGATTACACGTCACTGAAGGAGAGGAAAAAAGAGGATTTGGCAAAGGCAACTATAGCAGCAAGCACCTTATGGTCTTTTAGATATATACTCTGACTCACTGAAGAGAAAAGCAAATATTGACAGCTGTGTTACTTAATATGAGGTTAATTTAGTAATTCAGCATGTTTTAATAATACGGGACAACCAAGTAAAGGAAGAAGCACTATAACCCTAAAACTTTAGCATTTGCCTTTTTGGCTAAACAATTGGAGAAGCAGTATGTGACATCAGTATGCCAAGTATCTCAAGAACTTTAACTAATATTTATTTCTGTCCCAAAGCACACATAGTTATTGGTAGAAAGTGGCTTTTTCCAACGGAAATATAACTAGAGTTTATTTTATTAGTTTAAGTCTTTTATATTGGTTAATTTAAAGAAGCTTTGACGTTACATTTTAAACTAGGTAAGTCTCATACCTGTTTTACAATCCCTAGTTTTCCCCACCATTATTACGTTTCAATGACTAACAACTTAGAAGTATTTGGTATTCCTGAGATCTCTCTCACACCAGTGTCACTTGTCACAATAAAGGAAATTAATCCCAATTCCCAAAGTTGATGATTCATCCAATTATAGGTAACTTCCTATTTTAGTTTATCAAACAGAATAGAGGAAAAGATTTTTGGTATGGTATCATTTTAACAAATCAATGTTAATGTGAAAATGCAATGCTATTTTTATCTCTTCTGAAAGGATATTTTACTTGAATAAATCACTTCTACAAATTTGGATATGAAGCCTTGTATTAAACTACTTTTTCACAAAAACACATACTATACTTGTCCCATTGCAGAAACACACACTTTCATCCTTTTTGAAGATACTCATTCCACTTTACTTCCATCTGCAGACTGAAAGGAAATATTTAAAGAAGCAGGGTTTTTTAAAATTCCTTTTCCTCTTCTTGTCTTGTGAAA